ATTTTTCGACACCACAATGGGCTCTTAAAGTTTGGCAAAGTTCCTGAAAAAAATGAATGTTTACAACAGCTTTGACTGGTGTTTGAATTCGAGTTTTACTGGGTCAAGTTCACGTGTTTGCGTGCTAGTATGTTCGCGTGTTGGCGTGTCGCCTGATCGCGTGTTTATCGTTTCCGACGTGACGTTTGAATTGGTGAAGAGAATGCACATAAACTCCTACGTTTTAAACACTTGCTTAGCCGTAAAGAAATTACTTACAAATATTTATTTAGTACAAACTAACTGTCGCCCGCGACTCCGTCCGCGTGGATATATAAAAAAACTTAATTAGTGTAGACCATCCATCCATCCATCCATCCATCCGCATCACATCCATCTAAACATTTGCATTTATAATATTAGTAAGTTAAATAAAAAGCAGCTCTTCAAGGCATAAATTCGAAAAAAATGAATAAATAGTATCCTATGTTCGTCTCCTGGCTCTAAGCTACCTCCTCACCAATTTTCAGCCATATCGGTAAAGCCGTTCTTGAGTTATGAATAGTGAAACTAACACGACTTTCTTTTATATGTATAAATTAAAAATTCGTTATTCTGTTACAAACATTATACGATAAGTAATGTCTGCCCGAAAAAAGAGTAAAAAAAAAACTATGTATAAGCACTTATCAAAATGATGCAAATCCTTTTATACAAATCCTCAAATCAATCTTTCAGTTAAAGGCTTAAAATTTTACTCTCAATATTTTCAATCCAATGGGGAAAACAAGATAGCTTATACGTGAAGAGTCTACAACTAATAGTTAAGCATATATATTTTAATAATTTAAACAAGAGCGTCGTTGGCTCAGGGGTTTAGCACTTGACTTGCAATCTGCAGGTCCTGGGTTCGAATCCTACCTTGTACCAATGTGTATTTCGATTTCCGATTTACATATGTACATTTATCCGACGTAATTACGGTGAAGGAAAACATCGTAATGCAACATACCTGAGAAGATATAATACTCAAAGATATGTGTGAAGTCAACCAACCCGCACTTGGTCAGCGTGATTGACTATGGTCTAATCACCCTTAACTTAGGGTAGGCTCCGAGCCCTTCGGTGGGGACGTATAGTGAGCTGATGATGATTATAAATAATAGAAAATTTAAACATACATATCTGTCTGATCAAATGATAAGTTACAATAGTATTGATTCGGCCATTTTGCTTTTCAATAATCCAGTTTGTAGTTACACATAACAAATTGTGTTAGTGGCCATCGCACTCACCAACCCTCCTTATAACATGTCTGTTGTCTAGACCGAGTTCCTAAACTGTTTAGGCAACGAATACTGAACAAAAACCTTTTATTTTATAGAATTGGTAGAGCACTGATCATAATTTTCTTTATCTAATATTAAAACTATTTCAAAGTAGTTATAATTCTTTGGAACTGTACGTTTTTTAAATATATAAAATGATGTATATTAAAAAGGGTTATTGATAATATTTAATGCAAGAGATATTAAAATACTAGCTATCACTCGCGACTCCGTCCGCGCAGAATAAAAAAAATACTTAATAAGTAACCTATGTGTTCTTACAGACTATGCACTACCTCTATTTCAAATTTCATCGGGATCCTTAAAGCCGTTTTGGAGATATTCTTCAAACAAACATCCATCTAAACATTCGCATTTATAATATTAGTAAGATAAAATTAATGAGATAACTAATATTCCGAATTCGCAATAAATTTCACCAATATCAATTGAGTTCTGTAATTCATCTAGATTATTCCTCTTCAACTCAACCAATAATATTCAAATTAGACTTCGGAGTTCTCTAAACTAAATTGCAATTTCACGTTTCTGGTGCTTCCATAACGACCATCCTAAAACGATATCTGTTTTAAATACAAAAGCGTTCATCTACCGAGAACATCTCTAATATCATGTAGTATATTAAAATAGTATATTAAAAATACATTGAAGATTCTTGGACCGATCGTTACTAGCGTACAGAACAGGACTAGCAATGGATGACGTACTATGCCTTTTAAACGTATGAAACCATGAGAGTGCTTGCTAGAGCTTACTAGCTTGGTAGAGGAGTATCGATTGAGCTTGGTTTTATGAATGGATGTCGTTCCTTCCCTTGTATTTAGACACTATCAGTCTGTCCTTTTTCCAACTAGTGTGAAAAAGACAGCCTCATTATTTAAAATACATGATATGATTTATGATATTAAAAAAAAATTTAGTCTATGTGTTGTTCTAAACTATGTATTTTACATCTGTGCCAAATGTCATCGAGATCCATTGAGCAGTTCTGGAGATACCTTGTAACGAACATCCGGCCATCAATCATTCCAAACATTCGCATTTTTAATATTAGTAAGAAGTAAGATGGTTATTGGACTCGTCTAAAACAATATTCAAAACAGATTATTTATTTAAATAAATATGACATGTAAAAAAAATGGAAAGCTTACCTCTGATTCTATGTATAATATTTATTCCTTTCGGGCAATGAACGTGCATCCTTTCTTTATCCTTGTTATATTTCCGGAGTTATTTTATTTATCATATCGTCGCCTCTCTCAGTTCGCAAGCAACACCAATATAAATTAGATTAGGATGCCGACCTAGTTAATTCAGCTTTTTATTGCTTTGTATTTTAACTTTATCATTACCAAGTCAAGTGTCAAATAAAAAACAAATTATTTTTACTTCAAAAATTTTAACAAATTACTAAAAGGATAACTAGGTACAAAATCCATTGCTACTTATGTTCTCATTCATTTTTAAACAAAGAGAACATACAGCGCAATGAACGTTAGACATTGTGTTAATATTCTCTTACAGTACGTACATTGCGCGTTGTATCGATCTCGCCTGGTTTTATGAATGGCTCCCCTCCTCCTGTAGGCTCGGCTTCCTCAAGCCCCCCCACCATCTGGGCGCAGTGAAGTGAGGGGCATCTCAATTTCGCCGAGCTGATTTGCGACGGCAACATTATTCAGGCAATTGCTTTAAAAGGTGGGCGGATACTTTGACTCACGTGTTATATGAGTTGTAAGTTGATACAAGGAATTAAACAGTATTAATTCATTAAGGCGAAGTTGTTTGTAATTTTTAATTTATATGAGTTATATTCTATTTTACTTACTTACATTTTACTTATAGAAAAAGCGAGAGGTAAAGAGCAGAGATTAAACTTCTTAATACTTCATTTAACAAAGGAACTAATTATACACGCGTCACCATTATTTAAGGGAGCAAAAGAGAAGAAAAATAAAAATACTCTATGGATAATAAGATAAACAAAAGAATATTGTTATTTAAGTATGCTTATAATTGCTACATGACGCTAAAATATTTTTCCCCTTGTTTATTCCAAAAATTGTTGGTCTGTAGTAAAGAGCTTTAGTAGTACGTTTATTTTTTGCATCAAGTGATTGCTCACTCGGCAGTCAATTGGCGTACCACATTAATTGGCAATCGTGGTGATGCTCGGCTGCTGAAGTTCTTGTACTCGTTCTGCTATTTAACGATAATTCAAAAGTTATTAATTGTTTAAGCCACATTTGGAAAGGCGTATTTACTCATACAATAATATTTAAAAGATTTATTAAAAATAGCTATATAATAGATAGATAAATAAATAGATATATAATAGATAGCAACGGTTTGCTATCGATCATTTAGGTTCGATTTATCCAACAGCAAAAGTCCGGCTCGGAAGGACCAATGTTGAATGAAAAATAAATCAAAACTTTTGAATAGTCAATCCGTCAAAATTAATTGACAACCCGAATATTTCATTCAGCGATGGATTTTATGATGCATAAAGGCTATGCATTAGCGTGCTATGTTTTGAGATAAATTTTAGGTTTTTGTAAGATAAATACAGTTACAGGCATTTCTATTTTAGATGGCTTAAAGCACTTCTCTAGTGTCATAACATCGTTCCAAATTTTTATGAAAGTCTAGCAAGATATGCGAAGTAAGCAAACATACATTGTTTTTTTTCTTTTTAGATAAATAATAGATAGATAAGTACAAATAAACCCACCTCCGTAATACCTAAAAGCGTATTCTAGGTCATAATAAAGAGGTTCGTGTAAAAGTTACGAGTCGAAATGTTTCCGTAGCCGCGGCCCTGGAGTACGTGACCTGTGTCTCAGACGAAAAAGCTATCTACTTACATCCCACATCGCATTGCGTTGTCGAGGACGGGAACATATAACCTCGCTCTCCTTATTATTAGTAACGTAATATATACCGCTAAATAACCTTTATGCTATACAGTTTTTATTTAAAGTTATGTTACAGTTTTATTTTGGAGTAATCCTTTTAAATATGGTAAAATCTTCCTGGCCTTTTCTCTACACATGTCGGCAATATGTAGTACAATATGTATTAGCCTTACACATATCTTCTTTCATAGCAATGCATCCATACTTTCTTTAGTCTTTCGCTCTTTCTCTACCTTTTTAGGTACCCGCATGCTATTTCATTTATTCTTGTTTATGTAATCATCGTCTCAATATTCCATCCATTTCAATATGGTGCATATGTTATTTGTATAAATCTGTAGTTTATTTTTAACTTATTTGATTATCATTTGACACCCATATTATGTATTCATATTTATGTATATAATTCTTCTGTGCGTGTGTATGTCACTGAACTTCTCTCAAACGACTGGACCGATTTTCATGAAATTTTTTGTGTGTGTTCAAGGGGATCTGGGAATGGTTTAGATTCACAATTTTGTCCGCTGGACAATGTTTTTTTAATTAATTTTTAATTTATTAGTAGTTGTTGATTTTTGAATGTTTTACATTGGATCCGACAGACGGCGCTACCATCGCAGTGTCAAATTGTCAGACAACGTCTATCGGGTCCGCTAGTATATTATAAAATTATGTGCAAAAAATCACAAGGCACATTTGCGAAACTTAAGCTAATTATAATATAAAATAAATAACGGATATAACGGTCACTTACCATGTTCATCTTTATATCTTCGACATAGGGAGAACATTATGTTACTTGTTCAGCAAGACAGCAGCGATGCGTCTGTAATAGATATAATTATATCAATACAAAATATTATAATTCATATGAGCAACGGTTCTCAAACTTTTTGACTACGGAACCCATTTAGGATGCTAAGTATTTGACGGAACCCTACATATTATTTTGGTTTGATTATTGTAGGTCCTAGAATTTGTAATTCTCTTCTTGTGTCCCTCGTTAAGTTTACGTTCGGCTTATTGTTGATACGTAATATTAATCTTATGACGGATTTTAGTACCTCTTCGAGTACCAGTTTAGTATTTTTTATAATTAGACCAGTACCAATTTAATGAACCTTCCAGAAAGAGTTCGTGGAGCACTAAGATTCCACAAAATTGAGTTCAAGAGACACTTCATTAGACTAAGGTAATCAAAGTACAAAAATCCATAAATATATTGACTTACAAAAAGAAACATACAAAGTGGTCAGATAAGATATTCGGGTCTTAATAATTCACGAAAGAACGTTGTTTCGATTTACTTTATCTTAAGTACAGCTTTATTTATGCTACCTACGCTAACTGATAAACTGTTGCCGTAATTGGAAGCTTCGTTAGTTACGTAAGTAATTTCTAATGCAATATTTTCACCCAAATTGGAACATTAGGAAATTGTCTATGACCAGTAAGACTGTAATCATTTATTTGCGACTTTCTGTCGCGAGCGACTCCGTTCGCGGGCAATTAAAAAAAACTTAACTAGTAGCCTATGTTTTCTTACGAACTGTGTTCTATATGTACGACAAAATTCATCGGGATCCATGCAGCCGTTCCGGAGATACCTTCAAACATCCATCCATCCAATTTTCGCAATTTTATAATATTAGTAAGGTTTGTACATGCACAATTAAATAGATTGATTTTTATCCCAGATGTCGACCGGTATAGAATTGTAACAAGGAATTACAGCTCTTGTTTGTAGCTTGGCTACGTCGTTATATTTTGTTATTGTATAGAGAAAATCTTATATATAAAATTCTCGTGTCACAATTTTCGTTCCCATACTCCTCCGAAACGGCTTGACCGATTCTCATGAAATTTTATAAGCATATTGAGTAGGTCTGAGAATCGGCCAACATTTATTTTTAATCCCGCGTGGTCGGAGTCGCGGGTGACAGCCAGTTGTTAATAATTAGGAAAGGTAAGAAGAATCACCAAAATTCTGAATAGTTAATAAGTTGCTTCTTGTTAAATCGAGATTTCATAAAGACAGTAGCCATTAAATTTTGTTAAAACTAAACGACCCAAGCAGCCTATCAACTTTATTGTTCTGCTGAACGTTATAATTCCTTGAAAGGCACTTGACACAGTTCCCGTCTCCTAGTGCAGCTCCTAGGCTAAAGAGGCGCGCACGGTATGCTCGGGTCTTTAATATTAATGTTCAACAATTAGGCTGAGTATCCACTACACCTAAGTGTTTGTTATGAAGGAATAAACTATGTTGTTAGTCTAAAGAATTAATTCTAGAATAATAAACTTTATATAAACAAATGTTGATACAATTTTCCTAATTTCTTAATAGACATTTTGATTGTGAAAATAATTAAGCTGTTTATTACGAGAATGAAAAAGTTATTTTTTCCTGATCGCTGTTTTGTACGATACTTAACAATAAGATTTCTTTGAACTGGAAAATATCAATGGAAATAAAATATCTAAAAACATCCTGTTTATTTTTCTTTGAATACAATGTTTGTGTATAAAACATTAAAGGTGTTATGGCGCACTTAACAGACAAGGTCACGAGCTTACATAAGTACTGGTAAACTCTTGTGTTATCCCACTCGCAATACAATAACTCAACTCGCGCTTGCCCTGCGTTGTGAAATGCGTCGTATATTTTTTTATATTAAATAAACCAAGGCTTGACTACAAACCCACTTGATAGTAATATATTTGTAGATTGTAGTTCTTCAAGTAAAGCTTCTACTACTAAACTGATATATAAACACGGCTCACAGCGACGGGCCGCGTCCGCGAAATAATACCAGTGCCACTCATCCTGATGAAGGGCCCCCGATGGGCTCGAAACTAGTCGGTGCCGCCACCGGACGTATATACGTGAGTGTTTAGCCGTGTTTATATATCAGTTTAGTATAATGTCTCACGAAAGTTTGAATAATTTAATAGCTTCTACTACATTTTAAAATCAATTACTCAATAACAGAACAAGTACAATGAATTTCAGGACTAAATTAGTCGTAGTGATTAGTTCAAAAGAGATGTCGGGTTATTGTTGAATATTGTTGAAGTTCTGAAACTTGCCACTTCAGTTGCCTTTTAAGGGTCTACGAGTTACTTTAACTTTTCAAGGTTACTTTGGAAGGATATAGTTGTGTACAACATAGTAACTAACATATATGTTTTTTTAAAGATTTCATATATCATGAGTACTTTTTTCGTGAGTTAATTAAAAACATTTTTACGTTAATTAAGGGTATACGTCGCTTGGAATTTCACAAGCGATGTCGACATGACGCTCCCCTCCTCCCCTCGTACCCGTACACCTCGAGTATTCAAATTAAAAAGTTTGAAAGGACGTTACGATACTTTAAAGAAATAAAATAATAATAATTAGCTTTCAGCGTACTTATAAATGTACCCACACATAGAAATGAAACATGTTTGTTGTTTTTTGTTTTTTTTAACTGTTCATGTTTTAATTTTATCATTTAAATTGTTAATTTTAGCTCATCTAATGATGAGTTTCTAAGACTAAGATCCCTGTTTAAAACGTATTGTTATATTATTTTCTCAAAGATAATGAAAGGGATGACGATATGTCTTACACAAAGATTTGGTCTTGAAAACCCACGGAGAGATTTTCTTGGTCGAGTTAACTTGATATTCTTTTAATTGGTCATTTTGAGGGTTCCGTATCTCATAGGAAAAAAACGGAACCCTTATAGGATCACTTTGCTGTCCGTCCGTCTGTCTGTCAAGACACTTTTTTCTCGAAACTTTTCACCTCTGATTTAAACTTTCGAGATGTGATGCAACATCGGTATGAACTTTATCTTCAATAATATTCTTTTAAGATATATTTGACACTGAAATAAATCACTTATTGTGTTACTAATAAACTAGTTATAGGAAAAATAAATCTTTTAATATCTATCTTTTACACACGATCTGTAATAAATACCTCGTAGTCGCATGAGCTACGGCGTAGCCATAGTCTGCTTCGATAGTCTCGGGTTTGATTTACAGTATTAATTTTGCAAAATTTTTAAAAAATTGTTTTGAACTATGAATTAATTATAACCATGGTGTAAAATATAATATTAATTTTCAAAACCATATCAATCCTTTTATTTAGTTTGAAATTAAATAAATATCACATATAATTCAATAGAAATAGTGTAATTTTAACAATATAAAGATATTTTTAATTACGAACATTAATTCCTTTATATTTTCTATTTAAACAGACTTAGGTTTAGAAAATAAACACTAGATGTTTTAAAGGTATACAAGAACAATGCTATCCCAAATTTCGCAATGTAGACACAAAATACAAATTCCTACATCTACCTTACACAGAATGTACACAAACCTGCGCTGATCTAGACTTCCCTTTTCACAGTAAACTCCAAACCCATTATCAGTCACTAACCATAAATTGTATGTATGACTATACACACAGCACTAAGTGAGGGAAAAAGTTTATCCACATGTGTTTAAATCAGAGCGGTTCTTACGTGCACTCTGTGCGGATGTTCGGCGTAGACTGCCGAAGTTGTTGAGGTTTTTCACATCGAAACAGTTCGGGAACGTTCGGCTCGCATCGACACGGCGAATGGGTTCATGAGTATATAAATGCAATGATTTGGTTTATTGTACTTCAGCGTGCACTATATTAACAATTGAGTACACGTTTTATTGCTTCGAAACATCGGAATTGGAGTTATAACATTTACTTTACGCTTGTAGGAGTTGTGCAGGCAGACCAATAATTGTATACTGTAAACAATTTATGTTACTATATTTTATTTTGAATAAAACGTATTTAATATCAATTTTAATTATTAACAACAATTTTTTATTTTACAACTTTAATTTGTATGTAAAAAATATATAATATAAAATTTGTGATAACCCATTCCTGTCCTTATCCTATTCACGTAGGGTTAACGTACCAGTTTTCGTCACATCGATCTATCTTTTGTTATTTTAGCCTTCACTTCCTTCTTAATCATGTCACAATTCGTGTAATCTGTCTATATTACTAATAATATAAATGGGAATGTTTTGATGTATGGATGAATAGGTGGATGTTTGAAGGTATCTCCAGAACAGCTCAACGGACCTCGCTGAAATTTGGCATATATGTAGAACATAGTTTGGAATAAGACACATGGTGCTAATTAAGTTTTTTTTAATACCGCGCGGACGGAGGTGCGGGCTACAGCTAGTTTAATTATAAAGTAGATAGCATACTTATAAAAGAGAGTAATACAGTTCCTATAATGCTCAATTCCTTTACGTCACATACGAGCAGCGGCGGTGCCGTTTTATTTCGTTATGAAAAATTGATTTGATCCATGTCGTTGAATTCAACTCGCTGTTAAATTCAGCGCAAGCACTCTGCCTTACAATGCTCAATGGCACAATGCTTGAAACCACTTGCATATAAAATATTGGAAATTTTAATATGAAATAAGCCTTTTCAACTGAATAACCAGGATATACTTATAGCCCATTTTTACTTTATAGGCTTTGATACAGAGTTGTGAAGTCATGGTTTTTTTTTCATATACTTAGTTCGACATTGTCATCAGTTTTAATAGTAATAAGAGAATTTATATACCTGTATAATTTTTGCTTCTCAATTTATTTGATAACACAAATGCACACACAGTTAATAATAAAACATGTTACTTATTTGGCGTAATGCCAATACCTCTATATGAGTAATACAACTTTAACTTGAAGTAACCATAGTATCCATAATACTCAATCTTTCAAAAGAAAGAGCTGGCAATTTGCACGATTGGGCCGCCTCCACCGATGGAATAACCACGTGAAATTCATTCAAGGTTTTATCAGAACCCACCGTTTTCTTATAATTAAGAGATGGGAAGGAGAAATGAATTTGGTAGAGGAAATGACGCATGGAAGAAGAAATATTACATTTCTGTGCGTCTGGAAAATATCTTCTATCGATTAAAGGTAGGCAACGTATCTGCACAGGTGTCTATGGACAATGGTTGCTTTGCTATTTTGGCGCATTCAAGTAGTCACTTGCTTGTGTGTCAGCTATTACTATTATAATTCGTATATGGTTATTTATTATAAAAATAAATATATATTATAAAAAAATTGTAACTTAAGTGATATATCTTCAGATACTTGTTACATTCACAGAGTTATTAAAAATGTGAAGAAAACTTCCGAGATCTTGAAGTGGTTGCTTGAGATTGTTTACACGTGCGAAGCATTCATACACACATACGTCTTACACTTTCCAGTCTGATTAGTAAGTACACAACACCCAGAGAGTGAATTCCGAGAAGGTATTGTAAAATTGTAACTACTAAAATTACTCTAATTTCGGAGAACCAAGTTCTTTCTTAAGCTAAGTTACTTAATATAAGTTATAAAGTAACTTAGTTCCAACAAACAGAACCTTTTACCAATATAATAAACATTTGAATTCTTTAGAAAACAAACTGTAGGAAAAGGAAGTACGCTTTATGCAGGAGGATTATCAATATAATTAAAATTAATTTTATATTTTTGTTAATTGTCGTCTGTTATACAAATTTATACGAATTAAATGTTTGTAATGTCTTAAAGTCGTAAGTGAATGCATTTTGAATCATCAAGATCGGCAGCATATTGAGGGAACCGGGCGTGTCTTGCCGACGACCGGGTGACCGGGTATGCTATGACCGCGTGACCCGGTCGCGCCGTGACCCGGTTACGCTGCAGCCGGGTATGCGCCCGGGTATCCCGACGCCCGCTTGCATTTCGCGATTGATTCACTGTTATATACTACTTAAACATTTTATATAACTTTACAATCAAGGCTCAATTATTATTTAAAACCCATTTATTTTCCTTATATTCCTGTACTAATTTGATATTAGAGATATCTGTGAAGCCAAAGTAAACTTCATAGTAAATATTGTTTAGGTAGCGTTTTTAATATTGAATGTGAAATAATTAAACCCAAACGAGTTTTAATACAGACCGACCTACTCGTAGCAACGGTGGACAAAGCGAACAAACAATTACGTAAAACCAAAAACCAATTTACGTGAGCATAAAACTCGATTTCAGTGATCTTATAGTTCTGTTTTTTGCATTTGTGCTGCAAATATTTTCAAGTGAACATGAAAAATTTTACTTCATGTCCTTCCATAAAATTATGTTACTCTTTATATTTAGGTCACAAAATAGGATTAGCATAGAGAAAACAAAATATGACACTAATCGTGAGTTTTTGACACCAAAATTCCCGTTTAAAACAAATTGTTATCTCTGTGTCAAGATAATGACAGGAATGACATAGATTTCGGTCTCAGAAATCCACAATAAGAAACTTGCAATAATAATATTACCATTGATTGTAGACAGTTGTCAAGGCTTTAGCTTACACGTGCCGTGTCCTATGCATAAGTGATTTGACAGGGACATCATGCACTGAATAATCGTGTTATGTCGGCCGTATAACCGCGTTAGCTCTGATAGACAATGCATGTAGCCAATTAACATATTGTCATGTTACCGACAATATACTTGTGATAAATCTACGCGCAAATAAAAAGAACTTAATTAGTAACCTATGTGTTCTTCTAGACTATGTTCTACATCCATGCCAAATGTCATCGAGTTTTATTTAGCCGATCTGGAGATACCTTCAAACAAACATTCATCAATCCATCTGAACATTCGCATTCATAATATTAGTAAGAAGTGAGGAGTAATCACAATTAAAAGAAATCTGTTTGTAAATGTAATACCAAATTTATGAAATTTCAAGTGAATTATAATATCAATTTAATCGTCCGATTAATTTTAGAATGTGCCATTAAAAGTCAAACTATCGACTCCCAGAGCATCAACTAAGAAGCTATGTTGCAAGTCTTTCTCAAAACTCGTGTAGCCGGGATCAGATTTAGTTGTCACATGAGCCGAATGTGCGGATGAGCCCAAACCCTTGGCCACTACTTTCACAACTCGCCTTATATTTGTTAGTTCTTTCAATAATTTCTTCACCAAAATAGTCTTTGAATCCAGTAGTGTACGTAATTTCATGTTCTCTAATTGCAGTGCTATATTTCTAGTCTGTTCCTTCAGTTCCCGCTGGTATGCTTTATCCAATTGCTTCTTAATTTCCAGTGTAATTAACCTTGATGATTCTATCACTTCTTCTGTACCAATTTTTGCCTCGTGGAGCTCTTTTTTTAATCCTTCGATCTCTTTATTCCTACTCCTTATCGTGACATCTGTATTTACATGCGCTGTGTCTTTTTTCTTTTTATTACGTCCGTTGATTTCTTTGACGACAACCTCAACGGCCGTGGATTCATTTCGAAATACCTCGTGAGGAACATCCGGATTTATCTCTAATATATAAGATGCAGAACCTTTTTCTTCAATGTTGATGAGTCGCGGGATTTCATTAACTTTATCGCCCATTTCAAAGTACTTGTCGCACAACTAAATTATCTCCATTATATTCTCGAAAAGTGCCAATGAAATTATTAATGCATAAAATTACCACAGTTCGAAAATGTCATTAATTTTTATCAGTTGTGTTTTTACGATGAAATGTCACAATAAATTTTTGCCAGTTGATGGACGGAGAATAAAGTTGTACTCACTCATTGCCAATAGAAGATTTCAAGTAAAACCTTTTTTAGTAATAAAATATTGTTATGGGTTTCATAGAACCGAATTATTTTTATTTTCTACGTACTTTTTTTACTTTACTACAATTTCATGTATATTTAAAAGCATATTTAGAAGAAACTTAAATAAATGTGCGTACAAAATCAGCTACACACGATCAACTTTAATTACACAGTTTCGTTTAACAAAAGCAACACGTACAGCTGCAATTTCAAAAGATTTACTCAATATTTATACATTCGAACATCATCGATTTAGGAATATAAGACAATTATATTATTTTTTATTGCAGTGCAAATCCCAGGATACTGTACTAGGAAATTATGGCGAGCGGCATACAACTTTAGATAATCGCATTGGAACATTCACGAAAACCGTTAGATCACGTGCAATTAGAAAACTGCTCTTAAAAGTTATTAACATTTAATGTACACACGTGTATTTGACGAACGATTTACGACCTTAGTCACTTACATCAAGTGTTATTTTTCAATTAGCAACATATAGGCCGTGAAGCCTTTAATATCGGCTCTGTAACAACTTTTGTTTTTATTTAACACACACCAGGTATACGAGAGCGGTTCAATTGACCTGGAAATTAAACTGCGTTTATTGCTACGTTAAAAGCTTTTACCGTATTAAAAGGTCTTCTGTGAAATATGTTTACTTGGCTTTGGGATTTTGTTGCTGTTATTTTTATAAATACAACTGCTTGTAATAATTTATTTAGAAAGAAGAAAAAAAAACTCCGTTTTACTGTTTTTTTTATAAGAGAACGGAGCAAACGAGAAGCGGGAACACCGAGGTGAAACCCGTTTTCAGGTTACTATAATTTTTGAAGGTTTTTAAAAGATCATAAGCTTAACAAGAGATTATTCCTTTGAACTGACCCGAAAACTTTCTATCAAGCAATTCCAGTGACCTGGGTCACGTCGACAAATATGGATTTTATAAGGACCGAAATTCATGTCGCAAAATTGAAAACCAATTTTAAAGTGAATTTGTAATGCAAATAGGTACTCAAGTTTATTAGAAAATGTTATGACATTTTTGTTTATGTTGTAACCGAGATTGACCTAAAATAATTTTTTCTAATGTACATAATCGCATGAGATTATATTTTCTCTCTCTCTTATATCAAAATCCAAGAGAATTAGAACCCATAATAAGGTCGAAAAGTGGCCAAGACCCATCTTGGGTGATAGAATCTACGAAGTCAGTATGGTAAACCATAATTAAAAGAACTTAAAATTAAACTGTTCTTCAAGATGAATGAAACAAGCTCAAACACGATGAGGTTGTGTCATTTTATTACGAAGTTTCACTACCTTCCAACATCCTTCTTCTTCGTCTTCCATCATCGGACCACCTACATGTAGCCATAATATTGCATTGTCTCGCGATTTACACGCGTTCAAATTTAATTTGGTAACAAATATCGGGTTAGGTGAAACTAAATAAAGTCTTGTCAAAAGATTGAATATGGAAAATACTATGTATTGCAAAATATGAGACTAAAATATGTTTCCCGTTGTAATAAATATTTAAATGCGGTGCATATGTTAGAACTCCGGGAACAATACGCTTTGTCGTAGCACTACGCCCCCGACCTGTCAGCGGCACGTAGCAGCGCGTAGCGAGGTCGCGTTCTACGCCGTCCCGCACACCGTACCAGGCGCTGCCAATGTACGGTAAGAGTTACATATTTTATTCTTATGTTTGTTTTTTCTTTAATTTGTTAAGTATTATTTCACTTCATTATAGCTAATGGTCGACTCTTCGGACGTAATTTGACCATAATTCGTAATCAAATATATATCAAAATTAGGTATTCATTAAATAGGAAACAAAATCTTTTATAAACCCAATTTTAGGACACTAACTAAATACGCTTTATTAATACAACGTCGACAAAAAAATGCAAGATAGCTAGATGTTTACACAGCTGCAGCGGGGTGGGTACATTCGTCCTAGTTTCGCGGCCCCGAGCGGTACAATACCTAGGCATCCTAGACTTAGGTATAGCAATGCCTACATTGCTAGACTTCAGAGCCGGAAACTATTGTGCGGCGGAAGCGGGTCTATTGAGTTACCTTGGCTGCTCCTACACCTATTGAGTTATCGTGAAGACGTGGACTGCCTATGTAAAGTGATTGATAATAAATTACCTAAAACATACATAAATAAATATTACATTTGTAATTTTTAAGAGAGTTTTTATTTCACATATTCGTTGATTTAATTTGAATTTATACTAAAATTTATTTCGTTAGTTTAGTATTTTCAAGTCAAATTGTCCACTAAAACTTCTTTTTGAATGTATTAATTATGGTTAACCCTTATTAGCCTAGAGTTTCAATTTTGATACCAATCTTTTAAACCGAATGGTCACATTACTATTAGTTTTTTTAAAGGTTGGCTGTACTTATTTTACTGTTGTATAACTTTCCAAAGAAATTTAAAAGAAAAAAACAATATCATTATTGTTTTATTTTATCAAGCAAACACAGTAATATTAAAAATAAATCACTTTCGTATGTAAATCAGGCTACGGGTTAAGTTATAGTTTTAATAATTATTGAAATAAGACGTAAAAAAATCTAAAATAAACATTTAGGTCAAATAAACAGACAAGTAGATTATCATTATCGTGAGTTTATTTTGTTTAATTTTTAGAATAACTGCATA